ATCAGGGGTTTGTTCATTCTGGTGCAGTGTCTTTCCCGACTTCAATGTCAGACTAGTATTTCGCTATACCCATAGATTATTGTGTTTCTCAGACGTCATCAGAGAATTTTCTTGGTGCAGTGGATGGCAGTTAAGGGAGAAACTCACAACTGCTGAAATTGAAGAGAATAAGTTTCTGTTGAGTGCTCAGCCAGAAATGGGGCCTCTAGGTCACATCTTTACAGAAGCAGAGGTGGAAAGGTCATTAAAGCCTGTGGTCTGGGAGGATTGGGGTAAACTGTCTTCTGGACCCTACAGAACTATGGCACTAATGAACTCAATAGCAACTGTGGTTGGCCTCACAGGACCTGCAGAAAATCGTCAGTCAACATTGCACATGGAGTGGGGAGAGGCTCATGAGTTCCCACCTCCAGCTGAAGAGCTATTGTCATTTGATGGCTGCTGATGGAGGGAGAGTCAGTTTTCAATAAGACTCTGGCCGGTGATAGGTTGACCACACTCTGCTGCACGCTTCCACACCCATCACTATATGGGTAACACAAATTGGTTTTTATGAGCTAAAGAAAAACAAAAACAAAGATGATACAATGTTAGCAATGGATGTGTTTTTGAAGGGTTGATTTTGAAGGAGTTCCAGGAAGAAGGGTTGTGTGAATATGATGAATATATGCATGAATGAAATTCTAAATGAATTAATAAAAATATAGTTTAAAAATGTGGTCCATATCCTTGTCACCTCCAAGGCACTCATCTCACCATCAAAGGTAGGCACCATTCTAGAGTGAAAGGACGGTGAACGCTCTTTCAGGTAAACAGAACAAGGAAACAATCAGGTATCAATAGTATAGAATCTGATAAAACAGACATCAAGCCCAAACGAAGCAGAAGACATAAAAAATCATTTCATTCTGATTCAAGAATCAATCCATTAAAAGACATTACAGTTCTAAGCATACATACACCCAACACAGGTGCACTTGAATTCATAAAACAAGTACTGCTAGTTATAAAGTCACAGATTAACCCCAATACTCGGTGGTGGTGTTACAGCAGCAAAAAGACCCTTAATAGAGACCTGGTCAGAGACTCTCTGGCCTGGGTGAATATTAATTTTCCAGTTTTTCCAGGTTAATCACCTGTTCATAGAACCAGCTCCAGGAAAGTGGGTTCACCTTAAGTCATGCTAAAGTGATAGGTAGAATACCTAGTTCATTACTAGGTACTGCTAAGGTGAAATTCCTCGTGCATTACTGAGAAGATGTATTTTTCCTGCCTGAATCCCCATCCTCTAGTGCAGAGCTTCTGGTCCAGGCCACAGACCCACGACCCTCCTTAAGTCTGCCCACTTTTCTGAATTCTTCAGAAAATATAATGTCTTCTTTCCCTCTTTCTATTTTCTATCCGTGCTTTCCCTACACTTTGGGATTCTACTCTGACATTTTGGTTTTTTTCTTTTTCTTTAAAGCTCCTTTTCCCTCTCTGGTATGTGGCTGCCAGTCCACCATATGTCATAGCTCCATGCTAGCTCTAAACCAGCATGGCTTAATGGCTTTTGTCCCTTCTCCCCTCCACTCTCCTCCTCAAGGAAGCTGCTGAATTACAGCTTTTCTTTAAATTTGAATCAAATCATCTTAAAGCTTCAGTTTGAGTCCATTCTCTTTTTTTCCAGTGCAATGATATTTATTGCATATTTATTACAGGCTAGGCACTGTCTCACTTTTCGGAATAGATGGACAGCCAATGACTCACCTCTTCATGGCTGAGGATGAGAGTAACAGAAACAACCCAGGAAGCTGGCCCCACTCTGGTGAAACAGCCTCCTCTACTTACAGCCTTACCCAGCTTTACAACGATTCAAGGCCGAGTTTCTAGCCGAGAGCTTGAATTCCTTGAAGAATCTCTTTGCTCACTTTCCTCTTCCTCGAAAACATTGGCTTTTCACTCTGATCCTTATAGTTAAGTCAGTAAGAATTTCAGAAGAACAGATGCTAGTTCAAACATGGATGCATCTCAGTCAGTGTGCTACTGTGGGCAACACTGCACAAACCTGCAAGCAACATCCAGAGTCTCCATGGGGAGTGCAGTTACAGACACCTAGTGAAGTATATGACCCTGCCTCAGGCCAGAGCTCTTGAAAGAAGCTGGAATGGAGCATATCAAAGCACAATTCGGAACCAGAATCTTAGGTTTTATTTTGCAGGAGCCATCAATTCAGAGTTGAGGATGCTGTCTTGTGGGTAATGATGCAAATGAGGAACTCATTCTCCCCATGATTATCCTGCTCTTGCCTGCACAGAAAATCAACTAAAGATATATAT